ACACCTGTAAATTCCAAGGCAAATACACTTACTCCATATTTCTATCTGTCAGAATATTCCAGAACTGCTTAGAGTAAAAAAATCAGGGTAAGCCACAACAGGGTTCATTACACTCTCATCTCTTACCGTAAATTAAAGCCCACCTTTCAAATCCAGACCAAGCCACAATTTTTTCTACTCCACTTGGCAGCAATACCAATTTAAACATTATCCCTCACACCTGCCCCCAACACTGTGCAGTTCCATTTGTACAACATCAGCAACACTGATTCAAATTACATTCCAGATGGCAGGAATAACAAGCAGGCCCTTAAAAATCAAGAAAGGGTAGCAGTCACCTTTAGAATACCGTAAGAGCTTGGCACCTGCAAAAAAACTAATTTTTCTTATCCCAGGCTCAAAGAAAGAAACACAGGCTATATTTGTATATATAGAGATGATGTGTGTAATGACTGTCAGTTCCTTAAAAGCAGCGTGATTTGAACAAAAGTCTGTCATCTCCAGATGACTAGACTAAGTTTACTAGGCATAACCCTCCCTATGTTTAGTGAACTCAGCCAACCAAAACCTTTTCTAACCGGTCTTCCTCACCTGAGACCAATTTTATGAGATTTTTCCACATTCCTGTACTTACCGTGGGCTGCACTGACATCTTCAGAGATGCCAGTACTACTTTAATAGGATTGCCCTCATAATCCAATGCTTCTGCTTCTACAACATGCAATTCATCTTTGGCTCCGGCCCCTAAAGTAACCTGTGAAATAAAGAACAGCATACATTCTGAGAATCCTACAAAGTATTCTGAAGTCCTCTAAAACTCTACTTGCTGTTTATCCTCTTTCCATATTAACACCAGCACTTGCAAGGTGCAACTTAAGGCAAATGTTCTGAGGAGGGTTGAAAGTAACCTTCTGCTACTAGATTACTGCCTGAAATGGGGTCAGTGACAAGTCTACTCAGCACACTGAAGCTGGCCCAAAGCAAGAAGTACAACCACATGCCTAGAGGAAGGGAAACAACTGTAACCACTACTACAGAATCACAGCCTTTATCCTTCCTGCCATGTTTCATCTGCCAATTGCTTCACTTCACACTATATTGCTTTCTTGACATTCAATGGGGAGTTAGATCTTAACTGCTCAGTTCAGTACTGTCATTTATGCATATGCGTCTGCACCAAAGACTGACAACTGCTCTCCCAGAGCATTTCAGAACTCAAGTGCATGGATTCCTTACATAAGAGTACAAGTCAAAAATCATAGCTGCAGGGAGGCAAATTAGTGAGACATGGGACAAGCCTGAAATTCCAGTTCTGTGAACCTCTGGCATCTGCACCAGGGTTACATGAAAGAGATGTGAAAACCAAGAACCTTGAAGTACAACAATTATTCCCCAAGACCAGTGCCCCAGAAAAAGAAAGCTTTCAGCCCTCTGTGGAGTATGTGGGTATAAACACTCCAGTCAGAAGCATACAACTTTGATTTCCATTCTCCAAGAGCTAAGTTTAAGGCAGGCTATATATTATGATCCACAACTAATGTATCAGACCAAAGACTGAGAAATGGGATACAGGATTCACTATTCCCAACAAGATTTGTTACTGTAAATTTAAAGAGGTGAAACTGCTGCCCATGTCTCACATCTCAAATGGGTTAGCAACATCACCAAATCATGCAGCTAGTGGGACTACCCACTGGGACAAGAATTTAGGAACATGCCCTCCACCCGCAGTTACTCCTATAACTTGCATCAGTTTAAGCAATAGTAGAGCAGTTACTAGTAAGTTATTTACTCTGTCTGGCAAGCATCCATTCCTGTGCTTTAATTTCTGCAATGGAGGAATGCACACTGGCAATAAATAGGTAATGAAGCAATGACCATCCCTCTTTGTTCTCAGCTATCACTAGTAGGACATCTGCAGAAAGCCTCATACCCCTTTTAACTCTACATGCATCAATCCTCCTCCCCTTTCACTTTAATATCCCCACCTCCTGTACCTCATACCCAAGTCCATCACCACATCTGTACCTTAACTTGTCAGTCAGCCTTTACATAGCTAGCTTTCTATCAGGTGTACAGACCAGTCACCAGGCATTTGCCACCTTCACACTTTATCTTCCACACTGGCCAACACGTTTTCTGTTTGTAGCTATGTCTAAGACCTTCCAAGTCTCTTGGGACATTTCTAGCTTGCCAATTGTTATTTCAATCGCCATTCCTCCTGTATATCATGTCTTTAAAAACATTCACATATGAGAACAAGCCATGTGAACTTACCCTATACATGCTTTACCCCTATATTCTTCCCACAAAAGAAATTCCAATTAAGAACTAATTAGTCATTGTCAAACCGAGGCTGCAATTTCCATAAAATTTAAGGACTGAAGACACATGATTCACAAAACCATAATGCCTACAATTCAAAGTGTTATAGGTATCACTATGAGAATGTTTGGAGCATGTTATTATGCAAGTCTCCTGTAGGAAACAATTCTGCTGCATGAAATAATCCAATTACAAGATTCTTGTTTCCCAGTATCTAGGAAATCTTTGTATTTAAATAAAACCAAATACCATCTTTTTGGTATCTCTCTGTATCTAAGGTATCTCTTTGTATTTAAATAAAACAAAATAATAAGCCATGAAGTAGAGATGCTACAACTCAAATTCCTGAACTGTGAAGTTGGGATATATTATCTTCCTGCTATGTGCTCAGCCCAGAACAAAGGCCTTGAAATATTGTGTCTTGCGTAGCAGCAGAAAGATTAGACACCCCAACACATTTAACTCTGAGTGTACAAATCCTGATTACCAGGAGTACCCTGCTCAGCAGGGAGTCTTAGATGAATTATCTGTATGACAAGACAGTTACTTCCCAGTTACAACTGCAGAGGACAAAACCAGTGACAACAAATTAAAACACAAATGTCCCTCCCTCATTTACATTTAGTTACTAGGTGCTTACTAAAAAACACCACTGGAATTCTGTCTGGAAATATATGGTCAAAATAAAGTTTATAATAAAGTGTAATAAGACATGGCCATATATTATTCTTATAAATGTACCCTCCGTCCCTTGCTACTGTAGCATCTGAACTATTGCATTTGAGATATCAGAGTATAAATTTTGGCCTTTAATTACGTTTAGTATACTTTTATTAACCTACTGTGAATTCATTTTTAAACCCTTCCAGCCTTGCATTCGTTGCTGTAAGCAATAAAACATTAGTGCATATCTTAAAACTTTTAATATCTCCATGTTAAAAAGAAACTTCTGCGTGCCACTAAATAAGAGCTTAAAAACCAAATGATACTTGCCGTTCTCAGAGACAACTGATGCTCATTTTCTTCATCATCTACTTTGAACTGATAATCCTTATCTGCTTTAAGCTCGCAACCTATGAAAAGAACATTTACTTATATGCCTGCGGTTCTACTTTGACAAGGGTATTTGCTAACCGCTCAGTATTTTACATCACGCGGCTTCGAGGCTTTGTACTTGCACAGAAAACCCACTAACGGCGCTCGTAACATCCGAGCAGAGCAACACGCGGGGTGCGGAAAACCCCCGGCGCGCCCGCGGCCTGCTGCGACAGCGCAGCTCCTAACGCGGTGCTTCGAAGCCCACTCCCGTCCATCGCTGCCCGAGAAGCGCCATCCCCGGGAGCAGGCGGCAAGCGCGACGCGCCACGGGCCGACCACCCCCCACGTGCTCCCACACCCCGCACCCCGCCATGTGCTCGCGCAGCGCCCGGAGCTCCGAGCGCGGCCGTGTCCTTAGGAACGGGCGGGCGGCAGCGCCGTTAACAAAAGCGGGACGGGGCCGGGCCGGGCCGCGCCACGTGCGAGCGGCGCGCCACGTGGTGTGCGCGCGCCGAACGCGGCCGTTCCCCCCCGTGCGCCCCCTCCCCCGACAAAGCCCTTCCCGCCTCTCCCTCCCCCACCCCCACCCCACTGAGGTGCGGCCCGAGGCCCGCACGAGCCGCTGCCGCCCCACACCGGCCCCACCGCCCGGCCCCAAGGCCTGAGGGAAGGGAGCGGCGGTGCCGATGGGGAGCGCGGAGCCGGTGCGAGCCGTTACCGAACAGGAAGGTCTGAGGGCGCAGGGGGCCCATGCTCTCCATATCCATGGCGCTATCCTCCATGTTCTCGGCCTGCTCGCGCGGGGTGACCACGACGTGCTGCGGCGCTGCGGGCGGACGCGCACTAAAGGAAGCCCCGTGCCCGCCCACTCCCAGATATAGCCCGGCGCTCTCGCGAGACCAACGCGCCGCGGCACGCCCCCCCCGAGCCGCTTCTGCGCACGCGCCGCCAACGGATGGGTGGTCGCGAGCGCAGGTCGGGGGCGCGCGGCCTCGCCCATCACAAGATGGAGGCGGCTCCGCGCCACAGCGCAGCGGCTGCGGGCCCGCGGGGTGCCCCCCGCCGGGACCCGACCCGACCCTTCCCTTCCCCCGGGTACTCCTCAGGCGTGCGGGGCGAGCGCAGCGAGTGCCGGCCGGGCACGTGCCCGCTTGTCGCGGTTAGCCCGCAGGCACCGGCCCCGCGGCGCCGCGAAATGGCTGTCGGTGGGCGGCAAGGGGCCGGCACCGGGCGTGCTGCGGCACAGGGGCAGCCTCGACCCGATTCTCGCCTCAGGTGCCCTCACCTCTGCCGGTGGACCGGGCTGTGCTGCCGAGGGGAAGCGGCCGTAGGTGGGACCCAGAGCTGCTCGGAGCGGCAGCAAAGACCCGAGTGGTTTAACGCTGCGGGCAAAGCGACCAGCACCACCGGGGAGCGCGGGTACAGCCATGCGGCTGCCAGGCCCGAGTCACAGCGAGCCTGGAGCTGCGGCTGGCAGCGCTCCTGCTGCAGGGAAACGCTTGGTATTGGTGCGCTGAGTGAGCCATGTGCAGTCGGCTCCTCTCGGCTCTGATGAAATAGAACATCCTTTTTCCTGTCTGCATACCTGTTAGGAGGAGCTGTTGCTCCCTGGGCCACTGCGCTCTTGACATTGAATGGACACATGAGGACGTCTCACACGATAGAATTCAGTCAGATTGAGAGCCACAAGCCCTGAAAAGGCTTGTGTATGCATTAGCCCATGTAGACTGTCAGTGACCCCGGGCAGGTGTCGTGATTTAAACCCAGCCAGACAGCTTGTTCACTCACTCCCAGTGAGTGGTGCCGGGCTGGAAGCAATCGAGGCCCACCAACACCCACCCCCACCCCCCCCCCCCCCAGGGGCTCTTCTCCTTTCCGGCTCCCAGTGGGATGGGGAGGAGAATCAAAAGAATGCAACTCCCACGGGTTGAGACAAGAACAGTCCAGCAAACAATGTAGAACACAAATCATCACCGGTACCACCAGCAACAATGCTAAGAGAAAATAACAAGGAAAGAGAACATGATACCACCCACCGAAAAACGAGTCCGACTCAGAAGACCCCATGTCCTTCCGGGTAACTCCCAGTTACCCCCCGGGGCATGAAGTGCTGTGGTATGGAATACCTCTATGGCTAGCTTGGGTCAGGTGCCCTGTCTCTGCTTCCTCCTGGCTTCCCCTCCTCCCTGGCAGAGCATGAGCCTCACAAAGTCCTTGGTCAGGGTAAACATCACTTAGCAACAACCGAAAACATCGGTGTTATCAGCGCTGTTCCCAGGCTGAAAGTCAAAATACAGCGCTGCACCAGCTACCAAGACAGAGAAAAATTGACTGCTACTGCTAAACCCAGGGCATTATCCACCCCTTATTCCATAGCAATCACATCATGCTCAGATGCCACATTTTCAATATACCATCACTCCCACATCCACGTACACACACAGACCGAGAGAAAGAGATCATTTTCTTAGTGCATGGACCAATCCCTATAATGCTGCCGAGTCCATTCGGTCCATGATGTCAGGTTCCATCTCTTGTAAATGTTTCAGGGCAGGAAAGGCTGTGTGCAGTATTGGATTGTTGCCTGCTGATGCTGATCATTCCTTTACTGCAGAACTTGTCTGGTTCTATCAGATTTCATTCTCTGTTGGGATGATGGTTGGAGGGAAGTCAGGACTAATCTCTGGTGACCTGGAGACATCTAGTTGATGGGCTATAATAGTATTACACAGCAGGCAACAGCATACAATTAAGTTCATTGGCTGTTTTCCCCTAAAATCAAATCCCCTTGAGGTATACATCGGACTTCCCCATCTTCCCGCATTACCCACCAAGTATATCCAGGTCCCTGAGCAAAAGCAACCCCACGAGTGGGTTTGCCTTTACCTGAAGCAGGAATAACCCAGACTGTCTTCCCCAGCAAATTCTTCATATGCACCACGGGAACTTTGTCCCCCTCTACAATATGTAAAAGTTCTGACTGGGCTGGGCCGGCCCTGTTGGCAGATCCTCTGGTGTTGACCAACCAGGTGGCCTTTGGTAAGTGTGTATCCCAATGCTTGAAAGTTCCCCCACCCATTGCTCTCAGTGTAGTTTTTAACAGCCCATTGTACCATTGGATTTTCCCAGAGGCTGGTGCATGGTAGGGGATGTGATATACCCATTCAATGCCATGCTCTTTGGCCCAAATATCTATAAGGTTATTCCGGAAATGAGTCCCATTGTCTGACTCAATTCTCTCTGGGGTGCCGTGTCGCCACAAAATCTGTTTCTCAAGGCCCAGGATGGTGTTCCGGGCAGTGGCACGGGGCACAGCGTATGTTTCCAGCCACCCGGTGGTTGCTTCCACCATGGTAAGCACATGGCGCTTGCCTCGGCGGGTTGGTGGCAGTGTGATATAGTCAATCTGCCAGGCCTCCCCATATTTATACTTCAACCATCGTCCTCCATACCAAAGAGGCTTTAACCGCTTGGCTTGTTTAATTGCAGCACATGTTTCACACTCATGAATAACCTGGGCAATAGTGTCCATTGTTAAGTCCACCCCTCGGTCACGGGCCCATCTATATGTTGCATCTCTGCCCTGATGGCCTGAAGTGTCATGGGCCCACCGGGCCAAAAATAATTCACCTTTATGTTGCCAATCTAAGTCCATCTGAGCCCCTTCAATCTTAGCCTCTTTATCCACTTGTTGGTTGTTCTGGTGTTCCTCAGTGGCCCGACTCTTGGGTACACGGGCATCTACATGACGTACCTTCACCACCAGGTTCTGCACCCGGGCAGCAATATCTTTCCACAGTGCAGCAGCCCAGATGGGTTTACCTCTGCGTTGCCAGTTGCTCTGCTTCCATTGCTTCAACCACCCCCACAGGGCATTTGCCACCATCCATGAGTCAGTATAGAGATAAAGTACTGGCCACTTTTCTCGTTCAGCAATGTCCAGGGCCAGCTGGATCGCTTTCACCTTGGCAAACCGACTCGATTCACCCTCTCCTTCAGCAGTTGCTGCAACCTGTCATCCAGGACTCCATACAGCTGCCTTCCATCTCCGATGCTTTCCCACAATATGGCAGGACCCATCAGTGAAAAAGGCATACTGCTTTTCACTTGATGACAGTTTATTATATGGTGGGGCCTCTTCAGCACGCATCACCTCCTCCTCTGGTGACATTCTGAAATCTTTGCCCTCAGATCCACCAACATTCTTTTCGTTTTGAAGGTGCTGGATAGTGTTGAACAAGGCCCTGTAAACATGGGCCAAGCCCCAGCACGTTGCCATGATTTGTCCATCTCTGGTATGGCCAGAATGACCACACACCTCATTTAAGTGTTTTACTAATTCTTCTGGATTTTGCAGTTGTTCGGTAGTGAAATTCCAAAGTACTGGAGGGGCCCACTGACCTAGATACTTGCCCATACTATCCCACACACCCTGCCACTCATGACTGTCCAGCCTCGGAGAAAATCTCTTGCTCCTCCTATATCGTCATTTGACCCCAGACAAGAGCCAAACCTGACTCTGCTTAACTTTTGAAATCAGATGAAATGGTCGTGGGCAAGATACACTCTGTATGCGTGCCAACATGGTGATGCCCATCGCAATCAGCAAACAAGTCTCAACAGCATTAATAGGCCATTCAAAAACTTCAAAATTCTCAAATGATGCTGTAAATGGTCTGGGGGGGCACGACTGGGAGGGTAAAAGAATGTCTCCTTCACAGGTTGACCACCCAAGAAGGAGAAAAAAGATGTGTAATTGCTAAGCACTTTTATTATATACCTCCCAAAGTATAAAGGTGGTGACCACACTGGGAACATAAGCCCGATCAGTTTCATGATCAATGATTCTATTGTATTACAAGTCATTACCATAAAGTACAATGAGACAAGACCCTTAGCCCAAGCCCCACACTTGAAAAACACTAATACAGCAAATACCGGCTCGAAGTAAGGTACGATAGACTGAAACTGTGAGATCAAGAGGAACAACCTTGAGAGCCAATAAATCAGCATTGTGACGAGTGACTATTAATCCGGACAGATCTGTCGTTATCTCAACCCTTCGTGCCCCACATTGGTCGCCAAAAAGAACTGTAGTGGTTTAAACCCAGCCAGACAGCTTGTTCACTCACTCCCAGTGAGTGGTGCCGGGCTGGAAGCAGTCGAGGCCCCCCCCCACTGGGGCTCTCCCCTTCCCCACTCCTGGGGGGATGGGGAGGAGGATTGAAAGAGTGCAACTCCCACAGGTTGAGACAAGAACAGTCCAGCAACCAATGTACAACACAAATCATCACCACTACCACCAACAACAATGATAAGAGAAGATAACAAAGGAAGAGAATACGATACCACCCGCTGAAAAACGAGTCCGACTCAGAAGACCCCATATCCTTCCAGGTAACTCCCAGTTACCCCCCTGGCCATGACGTGCCGTGGTATGGAATACCTCTTTGGCTAGCCTGGGTCAGGTGTCCTGTCTCTGCTTCCTTCCAGCTTCCCCTCCTCCCTGGCAGAGCATGAGCCTCACAAAGTCCTTGGTCAGGGTAAACATCACTTAGCAACAACCGAAAACATTGGTGTTATCAGCACTGTTCCCAGGCTGAAAGTCAAAACACAGTGCTGCACCAGCTACCAAAAAGGAGAAAAATTGACTGCGACTGCTAAACCCAGGACAGCAGGGCATATCTTTGGGTTTCTGTTACAGGCTGCCCTCGTGGCCAGGGGTGATCTGTGAAAGTGTTGCTTGGGTGCTCTAAGTTAGCTAATCTCAAGATCACTTTTAGGTGAGCGCTCATTCAAAAATAATGGTATATAACCTCTTAGTGCTCATGTCTCTCTGTTACTTTGAAATGTTTAACTCGTTACACCTGCATTCTTAAAGGAAGAACATCAAGTTCGGAAGCTGAAAATAAGACAACTGACACAACAGTAAAGCGAATCTTACCTGTCAAAACGTGGCATTCACCTTCTTTCTCAGTCTTCCACAAAGCTCACCCCTTTAAAAACAGGAAGTACATCTAATTTATCTTATTTTCAGATGTAACATCTCCGATTAGCAAGACACAACTAGTTTTCCAAATACAAGGTTACCTGAGCCATGGGTTCAGCAGGATACGATTGTGTAGACTCTTGTTAACATTAAAGCAGATCATCTGCTGAGGTGTTATCGAGCGGGTTGCCACAGGCTCACTAAAATACAATGATAATAAAATTGAGTTGTGTGTGAAAACAATACAGTGTAATAATAAAAGTATAATAATATTATAAATATAATGAACAGTATGAACAGTATACTGTTAATAAACAGCAGTGCAGTGTACCACGTGAGTGAGGATGGGGACGTGGCTGCTGTGAGAGCTCTCTTCTAGAGCCACGGAATGATTTCAGCTGGAAGGCACCTTGGATACGGCACCCTGCTCACTGCAGCACCAATGTGGGTCACGCTGTCAGGGCTAGGTGTCTGCGGTTTGTCTGGGCTATGGTGGTGCACTAACTACCCAGTACTGATGACAGCTGATTTGGAAATGCTGGTAGGGGTTAAAATTAGTGGTGTTTTTCCTATTTCCCTGCTCATCTTCATGCCAGCTGTTCTCTTTACAGAAATATAAGGTGACACACTTGTATGTGACAGGAGTATTTAAGCAAAACCAGAAAAACTAACAATCTTTTTTTTTTATTCTTCCTTTGCATCCTATAGGTAGGATGCAAATTAACAATAGACACTGCTAATTTACGACCTGTGCATTGCTTGTTCGTGTAGAAATAACACCCTGTGGATGCCAAAGTCAAAAAAAGGGGAGAGCAGGGCGATCACATAAACTTGATGAACCACTCTTCCCATTTATTCTGCTTAAAATCTCCCTAGAAAACCTGAGAAGGAACAGGTTTATTTCATTTACTAATCTTTGGTTTCATTCATCTCTTGGTATCTTTAAGAAGCAGTTACTTCTAAGGGTGGCCCTTAATGTGGGCACAGGGATTTGTGAAGCAGCAGAGGCAGGAAAACCCACCATGTGCAGTGGCTGGTGTCACTGGCAGAAGAATAGCATCATTAACTGATCAGCCAAGAAGAGCCCTGCAGATGCAGATAAAACCTTTGATTTGGCTTGAAAATGGCAACCAGTATCAAAATTTAAAATGACGTTTTGGCATGACCTGAATGACAAACAGACTGGAGCTGGGAGCTGAATACTGCACAGTAACAGAGAAAGAGGCTGCACCTGTTTGCATGGATGTTCATCTGGTGTAATGCCACAGGAGTACATGGCTACTGGTCAAAACCATCCAAAACCTGCTCCTTGTGGCACTGAGCAGCTCACAAAGCAGCCTGTGGTTACAGACATCCACCCAGGCCTGTGGAAGGGGAGCAGTGAGCAGTGCCACCACAGCATTTTCATGTGCGTACAGAGTTGCTTTTAATTCAATTACAGTCTTCCATTACTGTGGAAATAAATGTGGGAGGAAACAAAGGACAGACACAGAGAAGCAAAACAAGGGTAGGAAGTAGGAGATACATGCTTACCGCGTCTTGTTTGGCTCCATAGGGCTTTAGAAGGACTGTCATATATCACGACATTTATTATTTCTGTCATGTTCTAGGAGAAGAAGTCCATTACAATATCGATCATTTTACTCTGTTCAACTCTATGCTATGTAATACTCAGCATAGCTCCAAGAGCATACAAGTGATTTAGAAATAGCTGTACAGGGAGAACTGAGGAAGGAATCTGAGTCAACATGGTTTCCCTTAATGGAATTCTCTTTTTAGTAAGCTTTTAGAAAAGTTAGGAAATGGCATTCTAAACACGGTTAAAGCACACAGTTGTAGTTGAGCAATCAGAAGCTACAGACACAATAAAGATTTCCTATGTAATCCTAATTTGCATTCTAACATAATGACACAGCTTTCAGCTGCGTTGCCCCATGGCTGTCACATAACCTCTTCATTGGGCTCCCCTTCCTTTTCACTGCTCAATAGTTTCTGCCCCAACAAACTCAGGGCCAAAATCTTATGTGGCATCAAAACACTTACCCTTCCTTGGTTTCAGAACCACCACTGACAAACTCAGACATCCAGATATTTCAGTTTAATCTGAACTGCTTAGCCTGGAAAAGATAAGGCTTCAGGGAGACCTTAGAGCAGCTTCCGGTAACTAAAAGGGCTAACAAGAAAGCTGGAGAGAAGCTTTGGACAAGGGCCTGTAGGGACAGGCCAAGGGGAATGGCTTTAACCTGCCAGAGGGGAGACTGAGATGAGCTCTTAGGCAGAAGCTCTTCCCTGTGAGGGTGCTGAGGCGCTGGCACAGGGTGCCCAGAGAAGCTGTGGCTGCCCCATCCCTGGCAGTGTTCAAGGCCAGGTTGGACACAGGGGCTTGGAGCAAGCTGCTCTAGTGGAAGGGGTCCCTGCCCATGGCAGGGGCAGGAGCTGGAGGAGCTTTAAGGTCCCATCCAACCCAAACCAATCTGGGATTCTGTGGCTGCAACCATCATGCGGGGCAGCACAGGGGAAGCACTAGCTGTTGTCATGAATGTGCCATTTGCTGTTCCAGCATTGCAGTGGCAGCAAGGACAGAGCTGTCCTGCACAGTGTCAGCCTGAAACACAGAGGTACAACACAGGTGAGAGCTGTGCTGCCCTGTGGGGCTGCTGTGAGAAGACTTGTCCTTGGGGTTGTAATTTCTCTCCACTTCAGGTGGGTTTGCAGCCAGCTCAGGACAGGGAGATGTGGCTGCCTTCTTTCTTACCTGCAGCCTGCTGATGCTACCATGGGTGTACACTAGAAGTTTTCCTCATCATCCTTCTTTAACGTTCTGTCTGTTCCATCCCCAACTTTGCCTGTAACACATTATTTATGCAGAGCTGTGTGAAGGTCTGCATCAGAAGATCCTTCAGCACTGGAGAAAGCTGCATGCTGGCAGCGGAGCCAAAGGAGGCTGACAGCCTTGCTTGTGTGCTGGTGGCAGCACATGCTGGTGCTGCTGCACCTCTTCTGTATTCTTGCATATAGCTTTCAAGGGGTCATTCACATGTTAGGGCCCAACTGCAGATGTTCATCCCTAAAAGGGAGGAAGGACAGACAAGCCATGATGTCCACAAGGAAGGCGCTCGGGTGTGACAGTGAGGATAGAAATCAAAGTTAGACAAATAGATTTCACCAAGTGCTAGGGTCACAACAGTAAAACTTGACATAGCCTGAAATTTCTCTTTTTCCAGGTCATGGACCAGGACACATAGGAGGGTCAGAGCTCTGAGTGTCACTGGAGGTTGATGTTTGAGTACCTGGATTATTATGGCCACGCTTTGGGGAGGGAGGAAGGGAAGAAGACAGGGTGTTAGAGGATGTTTCTCCCATTGAGTTACCTGACCTGATGGAGGGATGAGCTGTCTCTGGTTGCCTGCCTTCATGCTGGACGTGTTAGAGCCATACCTTTAAAGAAAAGAGAGGAAAACTGCGTACCAGATACAATTCAAGGGAAAATAATATCCTGAATGTTTACACTAGCATTTGGCAATATTCAGAACAGTCCTTACCCAATGAGTATCTCTGCTCCTTAAACAGGATGTAATCAGCAGATAAACAGAATTCTACCAACCTCTGTATATTGTGTATCATGCTTGTCTACAATGCCTCCCCCTGGAATACCACTTGCTACTGTGCACTACTACTATACCTGCTGCCAGTCTTCTCTGGCACTTCCCTGCTTGTTGATCTCAATGGATTTGACCCCCAAATAATGCTCTGATCAACTGTTAATGTGTATGAGCCCTGCTGACCACTTCCAGGTGTCCAAAGGCATGGAGATAGGAGAGAACACATGGTACCCCACATAAAGTAGCCTGTTCATGCGGTCACTCTTCACATCTACTTCTGCAGTACAGAATGCCCCCATACCGCATGGCTCCTGCATCCCCTGAGAAGGGCAGAATTAAGGCTGCGGCAGGGGGCACAGTACACGCTTGTCCAGTTCCTGATATCCTTGTATTTCTTGTATTCCTTCGTCTCTGTAGCTTCACATCAGAGCCTGAAGTGCAGGTCCATTTGATGTTTGAGAAACATGTAAGATAATGACAGTCAACTGTAGTTTTAGGCAGATGCCCTGGGTCCAAGTCCAGGAGAGGGAGATTTCCTCTTCCAGGATCTGTTCTTATCTCACGATCAACAGCACCATCTAGTGACACCAAACAAGCATCCTAGGAACCTGTCTGCCTTCCGCCACATGTCGCACATTCCTCCGTGTTTCCCAGATGAGGTTTTTCTGTCTGTGCCTATCCATACCTTTCCTGCAAAAGGGTTGCTTACTAGAAGGCCTTGGATGGTGGAGTCACGGTCACAGACCTCAGAGCTGGGGTGACACGACCCAAGTTAACTCACAGGTCAAGAATCATCACCGAGCTGTGCACCAGATCCCGTTTGGCTCAGTGAGAATCCTTTCTGCCTTCCCAAGCACCTCTCACAGCTTCCACATTCAAAAGAAATCAGCTCAGTGAAAGAAAATAATCCTCCCTTGTTGTCCCCTCGGATCTCTGCGGTGCTTCATCATGCTCATATGTTGTGTAAGGATCTCAAACGCACCCATCAAAAGTCATGGCTTGTCCCCCAGGATCCCACTGGCATGCCTGGCTGGTACAACAATTGTCCAGGGAGTCAAAAGCACATCCAGCATTAATTCTGGTCTCTCAACTGGGAGCACCAAGCAGGCAGCAGCTCCACATCTCCCACGTGCAACGAGCCCTTCTGTTCCTCTCCCCACTGCCCCTCCTGCAAAAAGCCCACAGAAATAAACCTGCAGGATGTGCACACAAAATGGAGAGGTCGAGGTTT